AAAGTGAAGATCCGCGAGAGGAAATTCCGCTGTGAAGAGGAGGAGGGAGAGAAGGGAGAAAAGGGATGAAAAGGGCGTTTAAAGTTTACGGACAAGCGAGGTGGGGGGACGTTGAACAAAAACGTCGTCCCGCGAGGGACAAAGGTCGAAAAGATTGCCTTTATCCCCGCCCCGTGAAATATGAAAAAGAAAGAAGAAAAGGGTTAGACGGAAAGGAGGAAGAGGTGTCAGCGTTTCGAAGGAGCTCGTTTCTTCCCAATCTGTTTCACTCAACCTTCCCTTCGCTTCTCGGTTGAAGTTGACGGCCAATAAGGAAGACTCGAGACATCCTTTCGAGAGAGAAAGAGAGAGAGAGAAAAAAGAAGAAGGAGAGTCGACTCTGTTTGCCAAGCGAAAACAGGTGCCACGGAAGACCCGTGCCAGCCGCTTAATTACTCGGCGAATTCCATCGAACGTTTAGGAAACTGGAGTCAAGTTGGCGCGAACAAGTTGCCCCTCCTCTTCAACAACTTCGCTAATTCTATTTGTCTACTTTCAATTACGAAGCACGCGTCGCTACCTCCAGATATACCTGTTGTCATCCTCTGAAATTGTTGCAACTTTGTCTCCACACGACCGCCTCGATGATAACGCTTCAAGCTTCTTTCTCTCTTCTTTTTCGTTTCGAACGATTCTCTAAGATTCGTGGCCAGAGTTGAACTTCGTTTCGAGACTCTTTTATAACCTTTTTTTCTTTCATCGAACTTTCTTATAGAACTCGATGATTCGAAACAACTCAATTTTCTTAAATTTCTACGCTTCGAGGAGAGATGGAAATGATTCAGTAGTTTCTGATTTGCTTCGTACGTAAAAGTAGAAGCAGTGTCGCTATCTCTGTGTCATATTGGGCAATTCGTAATCTCATTTCATATAGAGAGCATCTTCCATTTTTGGTCAAAGAAATACCGAAAAAATCCGCAAAAGAAAAACGATTTCTCATGAATTAAATAGATAGATATAAAGCAGGTTTATCCACTATTGCTCGTACGATTCGAAAAATTAATAATAATTTTTTCATCTCGCTCAAGCCCTTTCCTATCCTTTCCTTCCTTTCTTTCCTAACCTAAAAGATTAACAGCCAAACAAGCCTCAAGAAAAAAATACAGAGAAAAACGTTTAAACACTCCTCTCTCTTTTTTTCCTCTTATCTTCCAAGGCAAACCATCGATCCTGAAAATATTCGAATCCTGATTGTATTTCCAATACAATCGAGAGATTATTCAATTTCCGCGTAAGCTTCTAACGCGATTCGTGCTCACCCTGGCTCATCCTCGAGGATGAAGATCGACGCGGTTTCGCAAAGGCGGCGACGAGAATGCGCGTTCCACGAGAATTGTTGAATTCGCGTTTCAACCAAACGGCGCGCAATAACGCGCGAAAAGAGGGAAATCCTCGAAAAAGAGTGGACTTTGAACGAGTGCGTCGAAATCGTGGCACACAACTGATTCTTTTCTTATATCAATTGTTTGACATAATTAATCGTTCGAATTATTAGGGATTCGATAATCCTGATTCATAATTTGTCGTATAATTTGTATTGCTTTAACTGAAATTTCGCTTGTTGTCTTTCTGGAATAAAAATTTTGTAATTTTGGCCGATTCTCGAGGAAGAAATTGATCGAAGAAACGTTTATAGTAATCGCCGCGTGGAACGACTCGATCCTCGAGCCCGGAAAAACAGTGGATGAGGGCGCCCAAGAAAAGAAAAAAAGGAAGCGTGGTGGAAATTGAAGTTCGAATTAGCGAGGCGGGATGCGTTTCGTCGAATAAATGGAATTTTAGAGGAGCGGGAAAAAATCGAAATTGGAAGGTGGCTCATGAATAAAAACAACCAAATCCTTTCTCTCCCTTCCCTCCAATTAATTCTATCCAATTATCCAAAAACCAATTTTATCATTTTTTCCGTCCTGATTTCCTCTCCGAGAAGGAAAAATTCTTCCTTTCGATCCTTCGAGGAGAACTAATCTCTTTCCAACGAGACACACATATCCTCGTTAACGAGGTAAATCGTGGTCAAGAGAGATCTTTCCCGACCCGAATCTCTGCCGCGAATTCACAACTCTGTTTGGTTTTTTACGAGGGGCCACTTTGGCCGGCAAAAGACTTATTTTTTTTCTCGACGTTGAATAATAAATCGTCGCGAAATTCTTCTTAAACGGGAACTAATCAGCGCCGAAATTAACTCTCTTATTACTTGTTCATCGTGCCACTTTGGATTAGAAAAAAAAAAATTTGGACGAGGAAGTATTTTTCTCTTTGGAAGCGCGAGGATGGAAGGAGGGAAGGAGGAGGATCTTTTTTTTTCGTAATTATTAGAAGACTACAAGAGCAACTTCACTCGTGATGATTCTACAGTTTTCAGAGACTCCGTTTCTACAGACTTTTTCTTTTTCCTTTTATTAACTTCCGCTCTCGGTACACACGTGAATTTCCCTCGATGAATCTTTTAACAACGCGGCCGGGAGTCGAGCCGCGATTAATTATTCACGCGTGATCATGCATTTCGCAACCTTCTGAGAGAGGGAAAACTGCATTATGCGAGTCGCCGCTTCTCTTTTTCTTTCTCCTCTACTACTATTTCATCGAATTTCCGTTTCGAAATAAGTATCACAAATTCTTTATTTATTTATTCCTCCGTTCCTTGGGTTGGAAGGAGAGTGACGTGCACCACGCGCGTCTAATTTGAATATTCGAATGCAACGTTATTTTTCGGGATGGTCCGCGAGGGGAAAGAAAAAAGGAGCGCATCGACCAACCAATCTTCCAGCGCTTCCGTGAGCCATCGATTGCGTTTCTGCTGGACGAATTTTTGCGTGAGCGCCAGCAATCGGACCGATATAACTCGTTCGAAGGAACGAGTCGGGAGGATAAATATTATATCAAACGTCGACGTTTCGAATGGACGTTTGATTGGATGGCGTTTGCTAAACGCTCGGAGGATTCTGTCTGTGCAAAAATAAGTGCAAGAAACTATGGCACATTATGCTGAACGATTCACAAATAGCTCGCGAGGTCAGTGATTGCCAGTTGCAGAGAACAACGATCAACGATTTGCTCGAAAGGCGGTTGTTATACATTCATGGCTGGATTCACTTACGGACAGTTTGCAACAGTCGGTGAACTTCTGTGAACAACAAATAATCGCAATAAATTCGCCAGCGAATATTGTTCGCGAACAATTCGTTGTAAACTGTTCGATGAGTACGAGCCTTTAAGCCTACATTGCTATTCGTTTTATCACATTTTAATAATTATGTTTGCTGGTAATGGATATTTTTGTGAATTAATTAAATTGTATTCGTTTGGAAGTGTTTAATGAGTATGCGCCTTTAAGTCTATATTGTTATTCGTAACATTTTAATAAATTATGTTTGTTGGTAATGCATATCTTTACGAGCATTATGTTGCGATAATTAAATTGTGTTCGTTCTGAATCGTTCGATGAGTACGAGCCTTTAAATCTACATTGCTATTCGTTTTACGTTCACATTTTAATAAATTATGTTTGCTGGTAATGGATATTTTTGTGAATTAATTAAATTGTATTCGTTATGAACTGTTTAATAAATCTACACTGCTATTTGTAACATTTTAATAAATTATGCTTGCGAAATAATTAAATTATATTCGTTGAAAACTATTCGATGAATATGCGCCTTTAAATCTATTCATAACATTTTAATAAATTATTTGCTAGTAATGAATATTTTTGTGAATTAATTAAATTGTATTCTTTATGAACTGTATAATAATCTACACAACTATTCGTAACATTTTAATAAATTATGCTTGCGAAATAATTAAATTATATTCGTTGAAAACTATTCGATGAATATGCGCCTTTAAATCTACTCATAACATTTTAATAAATTATTTGCTAGTAATGAATATTTTTGCGAATTAATTAAATTATATTGGTTGCAAACTGTTCGATGAGTACGAGCCTTTAAGCCTACATTGCTATTCGTTTTATTACATTTTAATAAATTATGTTTGCTCGTAATGGATATTTTTGTGAATTAATTAAATTGTATTCGTTATGAACTGTTTAATAAATCTACACTGCTATTCGTAACATTTTAATAAATTATGCTTGCGAATTAATTAAATTATATTCGTTGAAAACTATTCGATGAATATGCGCCTTTAAATCTACTCATAACATTTTAATAAATTATATGCTAGTAATGAATATTTTTGCGAATTAATTAAATTATTCGTTGCAAACTGTTCGATGAGTACGAGCCTTTAAGCCTACATTGCTATTCGTTTTATCACATTTTAATAAATTATGTTTTAATGGATATCTTTGCGATAATCAACTAAATTGTGCTCGTTGTGAACACGTGTCTTTAAACTGAGTTTACATTGCTGAAAATTTCCCAACAATTTATAAATTATATTCGCTGCTGCTACATACAGATACTTTTGCGAATATCACGCAATAATACCAGGGAATAATGTTAATTGTTGAATACTTTAAAGCATCCGTTCGAGTTGAAATCGTACATACGGACGCGTTATTCGTTTTCAACGAACAATTCTGCATCTGTTCGCCTAGAGCTCTACCTCTACCACGAGATACGAGATATTTCTATATCATATATTGGCGTGCAAAATGTAGAAAGACGTTTCCAAATAAGAGCAATTAAGAGTGGAATTAATCGGGCCATTTTTCATGCAGGCGTGGAGGAGGAGGAAGTGGCACGCGTGATTCGTTACCACGAGAGGTATCGGGCAATCAAGTTAATGAGGAAAGAGGAGCAACGAGTGGAAAAGAGAGGAGCGAGAAAGAGACGCGACAAGGAAAGGCCTTTCACCTAATGGTTTGAGAAACGTTGACCGTTGGCCCGCGCCATTTATGGCAACTCATTCTCCGCGACCATTTTCATTTGGCCCTCCTCAATCGCGTTTCCTTCTCTTTGATCGTCTCTTCGATCAACAACGTTGCTCAAACTCACCGTGCGTCATCGGTGTGCAGCCTCAGCCCGATCTTTGATACGCATGTCCACTTTAGAATTTTCGAAACTTTCCCCCGTCACTGCTCGGCCACGTGTCCTGGAAACACACGATCAAATCACTTTTTCTTGCATCTCTTCCCTTTCGATTCTTCCAATCTTCCATCTTTTATTCTTCCTGCGAAGCAGCATAATCTTATCAATTATTCACCGTATGTACACGCGATCGATACAAACAAATTCTCTCTCACCATTCGATACGATACAATTTTCGCGAATTTTCTCGTTTCATTGGACGGTATAAATTTTTCTTCGAAATATTTCAACGAGCGCCCTTTCAACGAATTCAATTATTATACAATTTCTCGAATCCTCCTACGAATTATTTCTTCAATAATGAATTTGCTCTAACTAATTTTAGAAAGAAAAAATTACGATATAAATTTTTCTGGCATTTCGAAATATTTCAATGTGTCAATTTCTCGCGGATGTTTCGAATCAAATTCTCCTCTTACGGTTTCATTATCCTTTCATAACGAATTACATTTGCTCTAACTAATATTAAAAAGAAGAAATTTCTATATATATATATAATTTTCGCAAATATCTTTCATTGAACGATACAAATTTTCGAAATATTTCAAGAAGCGGCCATTCAATATATCAATTACTACAATTTTTCGAACGTCTCAAATCAAATCCTCCTACGAATTATCCCTTAGAGTACATTTGCTCTAACTAATATTATAAAGAAAAAATTACTATATATAAATATATATAATTTTCTCGTTTCATTGAACGATACAAATTTTTCGAAATGTTGTCACGATACAATTTAAAACGCGTTCACCCCTTCGCAACGAATTACATTTGCTCCAACTAACCGAATTAGAAAGAAAAAAACAAAAAATTACGGTCCAATTAGTTCTTCGTCCCCGAAACACAACCCCGAAGAAAGGAAGAGATTCGTCTCGGAGTTAACGCTCAGCAATAGTCGGCCGACACGCAACCCCTTAACGCCGATTTCGTGACCGGCGCTGCGTAAACAGCCCAAGTTCTGGGCGTGTAAACGCCATCAGATTTACACAGGCGCAGCATTTAGCGCGATAAGCCACGACCCGCTAATGCGTGCAACGCCGCGAGGATTGAGAGCGTTAAGCAAGCTCGCGGACAGAAACTTTTTCCACGGGCGGAGCGGAGAAAAATGGTTGTTGAACGGCGCTCACGTCTCAAACCGCCGAGTTCGAATCCCTCCACGATTCGTGTAAGAGTCCCGTTGAAAGGGAGAGAAAGAAAGGTGTTTATGCCGGTTTTAAATATTTACCGAAAATAATTTTATACGAGGAAAAGTTAAAGGAAGATGAGCCTTCTTCTTCTTCTGCAAAAGTGAGAGTCGAAATAATGATATCGTTAGATAATTGTTTTACAAATTAATTTTCTCGAGTGAAACGAAATATTTTCATCCCCCTCCTTTACTCGTTTTACATCGCATGATACCAATCTCGTATAAAATTACAATAAATATATATATAAAGAAAGTGAAGAAAGAAGATTTAATCTCCGTGCGCAAGCAGCGAAATATCTTTTAATCGGTATCAAAGGATAATTAATAATCCTCGATGGAGAGTTTCCTTTTAAAGACGAGTATGAACGTAGAGAAATAACGTCATACCCGTGCAAGGAAAAGCATCCAACATCGTCGATGACGCCTCGTACGTTTGTAACGCAGAAGAAACAAGAGAAACAGAAGCCGAATCTGCCTGTTTGTGCATAACATGTCGCGATATTATGCAGATCCAAGTGGAAGAAAAGCGGCACGGAACGTGGATAAAATTCGACTCGGGTCGAAATAAACTCCGCGCAACTTTCCGGCTAATAAAAGAAAGGAAGAGATATCGCGGCGCAAAGCGTTCGGATTGTTGCATCGACGAAAACGACGAGATGGATGAGAGAGAGAGAAAGTTTCGATCTTGTTTTTCTCTCTTGTTATTTTCGCGAGTGCGCTTCCCTCACATACAAACAGCACAAAGAATTAGAGGAGCAGTTTCAGCTCGAAATCGAAATATCGTGAGAGGGAGAAAGATGAAAGGGAAGCTCAAGTTCTTTTCTCCGTACTTTTACATCGATCTAATATCAAAGGATCGAAATTCTCGCTCCTCCAAATTTCTCTTTGATATTTTATCGTTCTACGGATTCTACGGCTCGCCGATTAAGGATTAAGATTCTTCCACTGTTCTCCCATTTTCCGTTTTATTCTCCCTCTTTTTTCCTTTCTTTCTTTTTAATTCATATATTATTAAATTTCACGGGGGAGAATCGAAGTCGATATCGATTTAATCGAACGATCTTTCGCCGAGTCGCGTTCGATTAGAGGAACCACCTGTGTGTAATTCTTTTTCCACCTGTCCTCCTCTCTCTCCACGGTATACCTTTCGCCTCTCCGTTCGAAAGGAAGAACGAAAGAAATTACCCACAACTTTCGAGACGAGACAATTCTTTTTTACCTCGCGTTTCAATTTTGCATGCGAAAAACGATTTTCCATCACCTTTCCCACATCATTTCTGTCGATCGAGGTAATCTCACCGAATAATTTTTACTCGATCGAGTAGTGTTTATCGTGTTTATTTTTTCTTCCTACGACGATTCGATGCAATCGAAACAAAGGGCGATCATCGATGTCAAATATTCCGAGGCGAATTTGTTTAATCATCGAACTGCATAACTAATCGAACCGGTGGATACATTTAAACCGAGCCGAGTTTTCAAATTCGAATAAAAATCCACGGAATGGAATTTCGTCGAGGGAAATGCATCTTGGCGGAAGTCGGCACTCTCCTCTTTGAGAAATTCCCTAATAAAATAAAACGCTGGAGGGGAATGCGTAACTACGTCCGAGGGAACAAAACACGGTTAACGGTGTCGTTCACCGTTCGCAGTTACGGGCGAAGAAAAGGAAATTAAATTCCCTTACAGCTCAATCTCCATACATTTCACGCGCGTTCACAACCGTTCCCCATTCGTTCGTTCGAACGTTCCGTTCTTCTCATCCTTCCGCCATATCTATTTCGATAAATTTCCCAATTTCAACCGAAAAAACCTGAACCAAATCTTTCCAATTGCGATGCACAGTGGATAACGAAAGCGTTCGAACAGCTTACATTTACGATGAACGAAATATATATGGAACTTGTTCAAGACAATGAGAGGCGTACGGTTGGGGGAATGATTCACCAATTTTTGCAATAGTTATGATACATTTATTACAACAACGCGTTAGCAGGTTGTAAAATTTATATTCGAACGCTGATACGTATTTTAGCCAGGAATATAAACATAGATACTAAGTGAGAGCATTTTCACGTTCGGTTCATGCTTCAAGCTATCGTTCCATTAACATTAAAAAATAAAAATCTCCATCAAGAATGAAACAGAGAAGCGTGAACGAGAGACTATCCTTCGGCCGCATAAGAAAATTATATGACCGTGAAATTATGAATCAGTTTCCTATTCTATTCTAACGATTGACGAACGCTCGTGATTTCGAATTTCCTCGACACATCCATTTTTCCTCGTTTCTATCGAAAATCAACACTTTCAACTCCGCGTTCGATTTTTCTCGAGCTGGAGTTGTTAACGATCGAAATTGGACGAGAAGTATCGATCGAACAGCTGGCCGTGGCAACTATCCGCGTGTTTTGACGGAAAACATTCCGGACCACGGGGTTCCATCGCGCGACGGATAATCGCTCATCGATCTAAGTCGCGGCAGACACCGCGTCTTATCGACGTTTCCCACGTAAAAACGATCCGCCCCGTTTTTCTCTATCCGGTGGAAATACCGAGGAGAAAATACCAGTCCCGAATTCGTTACAACGCCCTGCGGTACGATATCGCTTCGCTCAAAAAAGAAAAAAAAGAAAAAGTAATCCGAAAGTATCCTCGTAACTTGGCGTTTCCGCGGAAGGAAGCGCTAGTTTCTTCTCTCTCTCTCTCTCTTTCTCGAATTTTCAGACACGCGAATCTCGGGAAGAATGGCCACCGAAGAAAACTTTCGTGGAGCGTCTCCAATTTTTCGTGGCGACGTACCCCTCCCCGTGCTTTTAACCAATGCCTTCCCTCGCCAAAACCGAAAAGAATACCGTGTAATATTGACCGACTCTGTCGTCTCGAGATTTCTCGCCACCGAAACCCGCCAAATGTACGACTGAGTCTCACTGCCATTCCTTTCCGATTTGCGATCCTTCGTCTCAAATCGAAAGCCAAGATCTCGACTCAGTTGTCTCCAACGTCTGTATCATTGAGAATTCCCCTAAAAATTGTAACTACCTGTGTTAATTTTTTTTTTTAAATCGTTAATATCCAATATTAATTAATCAGAGGAACTCTGATAGATGAAACTGTTTTAATTAATAATAGTACTTATTCCGCTGTTAGTGGAAAGAAGGGACAACGAGAGCGTGAGACGAGATAATAGATCGTGGAAAGATGGAGAGAGAGAGAGGATTAAGTCAATTTTGAAAACTGATGCCCACGTCCTGATACTCTGGCTCTTGACAATCGAGCTTAATTTGGCCGGTCAACAGCGACAGCCGGATAACTACGTTACACGGGATTTCTAGGGATCCCTAGACCGGTTCGAGGGAAATTTCAACGCGAGCCGAGTCCCTGGGGTGCGATTCACTTATACAGCTAATACCTGGTGCCGTCAACCGTCGACAACAAGGGAAGATTCTATTAAGGAACGCCAAGACCTTATCAGTTATTCGATTCCACTAGAAATTCGGCTACAATTCCGGTTTCAGAAAGTCTCGATTGATTCCGATTGGTTCGAATATGCCAATGCTGCTATAGATATCTTTCCAATTCGTTAACATTAATATTCTGAAAAGATTCTGGACAATACCTCGAATATATAACACCTCATTTTATCTTAAATTAGATCGAGATATTAGATTCCGTATCTTATTATTCGCTTAATTATGCAATATTATAAGTTCAACGTGCAAAACGGATTAACGCGTCAATTTTCGATACGTGTTTCATACACTTGAATAAATAAACCGACGATGCAAACAATAGAACCTACTTTGCATTGCAATTCTTCGAGAAATAAATTGTCCACGGTTCACCGATCGGATCAAATCTAACCTAACCTAACTTATTAATTTTCATTCCCTTCGCCAGCCCGATATAAGTACCCGGCACGGATTATTTTCGCGGATTTCTTCGATAATCCGAATCAGTGTGGGTCCAATTATCGCAGATTGCATGACGGTCTCGCGAGGAGAGAGAGAGAGAGAGAGAAAGAGAGAGAGAGAGACGGTTAACGGCGCTTCAATTGGCCTAATCGCAGTCACTTTGCCGGGCAAGTCCCCGCCGGGCACCGACGTTCACGACCCGTTTATTAAATAAGAGCAAAGGCCACGAACCATTTGCAAAGTGGGACGAATGGATTAGATTTCCTGTTGCAATTCTACACGTGTGCATACGTCCGCCTTCAACGACGACTAATGAATGCAGCGATGAAAATCGTTGCCGTTGCGCGAGAGCAGGGTCATCCTTATTGGGCGTGAGATCGCGTTACGTTGGCTCCGCTCGTCGTGAAAACTCGTCGACGATCAATGACGAACAATGATAATAATAATAACAATAGCCATTCGAGAGTATCAGTATCAATAAACCGAATGGACCGAATCCCTTCCACGCGACTTTCTATGGGAAACTAAATATCCCGTCCGGGGTATTATATCGGATATTATCGCGTTGATTAATCCTGATTTATTATTAATCAAAATACGAAACTCTCTCACCGAATCGACTTATGCAAGACGGACAGAATGCGTAACTTCGGTGATATGAAAATATCACTTATCTAATATTACCGAGTCACGCAAGTTACGCCGTGTGTCAATATGCAGGTTATTAATAAAGAACGAGAAGAGGAGAAAGTATTGTTACGATCGTTCTCGACTATGTTTTCGAATTCAAAAAAAATATACGATAATTTATGAGAATAAATAAGAATAAAAGGTAGGTTTTTTTAAGATATCGAAATGTTATTCGTTCGTTATTTGTTACATATATACGTGTTATACGTGTTCACTTCCAGTCTAGCTTACAGTGAGAATCAATTTCTACTATACCAGCAGAGAAAGAGACGCGGCCTAACCGCAGATGAATACGCGAGACGAGGAAACTCGTGAGAAGCCGGACAAATTTTTCAACGAAAAATATCTTGTATCTTCTCGAGGACAACGAGTATCTTAGGAAGAAGCGGAGGATCAATTGGAAGCCGTTTTCTACTCGTCCTGGAAGTCACGAGAACGAACGGTGACTAATAATACATCGTGAGTCACGACATGAACCGTGACATAACCTCGAATATCCTAGTCCTCTCGGCGTTTCGTTCCCTCTTTCTCCTTCTCGTTACACTTCTCCTCTTTCATCCTTCTCAATCGCCAGGCCCTTTGCCTTTTCCCTTTCCCATGCTCACCTACGCGAATCCTCGAGTCGCGGAACGACTTGTAAAATATTAGAGGCGGCGAGGCAGTCTCGACAACAAATAATCAGTCGTCGTTTCTCCTATATTGCCGCGTAGGCGGAAGCATTATTATCTACCTTTCGAATCGAAGGGATCTGTGAATCGATCGTTCCGGTAGACTCGTACAAATGCTTCTAGATGGCGTCGTTTCTTTGTGTTTCTTCTTCGTCGATCGAATAAATTTTCACGATGGAACGCGTGCCAAATCTTTGGGAATCATTTTTTTCTCGGGTAACAAATTTTGTTGTTAAATCGAAATATCACGTGTATACATAGATCGATGGATCTTTCATCGAAGATAATAGCTTTCTAAAGTGTCTCCTTCCGTTTAGAAACATCCTGCACAACAAGATACACAAGTAATCCCGTTAAAGTGAAATAGTTTTGTGTGTGAGTGTGTGTGTGTAAATTCTCGGGGGGGAAAAAAATGACCGACTAAATTAATTTCTCAACATCAATGCTCTTAATAGCGTCGCTAACGGGTATCATTCCAATGCGACGGGGGCAAAGATTCTTGTCGGCGCAATCTGGTCGACATTTTAACCTGGTATGTTGCCTCGTTACACTAATTAGAGAGCGGAAAGCATCTCTCTCGGAGTATCGGACATTGTATCAAGGATGAGCAGGAAAATTTATCTCGGGGAATCACCGTGTTATTCGTCGGTCGACGATGCTTATCTCGATCGATTTCTTCTTGCGTCTTCTGGAGCGGAACAACTGGTATCGGTAACACGGAAAAACGATCGGAATAGGCCGAACACAGCCTTCTCAACGTAAACGAAACGGAAACAAAAAAATCCCTGCATCAAAGCTGCAAATTTACCGTTGCAAACAAACGACATTCCACGTCGAATAACGATTCTCGAGACGATTTATTAAAACGATTATCGATCCTTTTTTTCGCTTCATCGGGCTAGAAGTGCTTTAGGGAGATGTTAATTCGGCCGGGTCCAAAGTAAATGAGGTTTAATTAAGATTTAACGTATGCAGCGGAGCTAATGAAGCCAACGTCCTTCCTCCAACCTCTTTATACGGAAACTCGCGCGTTTTCTCCTCTTCCTCGAGGAGACGCTTGTCTCGACGCTTGTTTTAACACGCGTTGTCGTTCCAACGGCGCGCGGGGCAGTCGTCTCGTCACGCGACGACAGCTTCCAACCGTGCAGTGAACGGAGGATAAAAATCACCCGGTACGTGATTCGGCCTTTTAACGAGCTACTTTCACGACATTTCTTCTCCGCCTCTCGCGCTTATTTGGATCGCATTGCGCGACGTTTTCAGACGTCGACACCGCTCTATTTTCGCCTCGACAGCCTCGTGCCCGCGCATTCGAATCGCGCGTTATCCAACAACGTCGCGACGAGGAAAGCTTTTTCTCGGGGATTACGCGTAAGTCACCTCTTGATTAAAAGTGATCCCGCGAAATCGACCGTCCTTGCGCTCGTCCAACTTTCTGAATCGAGGAGGGGAAGGGGATTCCCCCAACGACTCGTAGACCGAGTGAGATTCTTTCTCTCTCTCTCTCTCTCGAACTTGCTCGTCCTCTCGAACGCTACTCGAAATTGGAAATTGCGCGATAATTGAAACCATCTTGCAGCGATCGCCCATGTACGACGTGGATGAATTTTCGTACGCTTCGCTTCCTCCACGCTTCGCTCCACGAATTATACTCCCACGGTTGAATCTCGACGCTCGTTCCCCTGTCCCACCTTCGAGTACCTGCCCAGATTATGGGACCCGCTCGAGCACGTAATTCTCCCTCCTTTCACAGAAATCTCGACAGGCTTTATTTCCAGAGCAGGTACAAATGCCCGTTGCGGTACCTCCTCCTAGCTCCTAGCACAGAATTGCACGGTCCCCTACCGACCATTCGTTCCAAAAGTATCGCGCCACCCCGTAATCGTCATAAATAACGCGATATTCGTATTATAACCGTTATTTCTTTCCTCGAATCGTGAATTTTTTCCAAGAAAAAACGTAGGAAAGGCAATTTTACACCTGTTTTAATAACCACGGTTATTCATTTCAGAAATCGATGGGATACCCTCCTTCCGTTTCATACGAGACGGATTTCCCCCGATGAAGATCCACTGCTATTTTCCAAGAGGAGGAGGAGGAGGAGAGGGGAAAAAAGCAAAGCGTCCATTCGAGAGCCCGTTTCGAGAAACGCAGCACGATTAATGGGCAGGCGACGTGTCGGTCCACCGTAGTCCTCTGCGGATTAATGTCTCGCGTGGATATCGTCGCAGCGACTTTGCAAAGAGGCGCTCGATTTGGCCGACGATCACGCGACCGTGAAGCGCAAAATCGACGTTTTCATTCCCCGGGACAATGATCTCGTCCGTTCCCCTCGAAAAAAAAATCGCGGCCAGAAGAAACAATGGGGCAGGAAACGAGTGGCGAAAATACAGGCGTCGAACACGAATAACACGTTTTCCGGTCAGGGAGCGACGATTGATGGAATGATTTCGAGCAGGATTTGGAGATGGAATTTCGATTAACGCCATCGAGAAAGATCGTCGGTGTTTACAATTCGAGTTGCTTCCACAGGTGTTTGTTACGAAAAAGAATTGTCGATGAAAACGAAAGATACTCGACTGGAAGAAAGAATTTTCCGAGTTTCAAAAAAAGAAAGGAGCGCCTTAAAAGATGCACGGGCACGGCTCCTCCTGTCTCGTTTCACGGTTAAACGGGAGATCTCTCGTTCGAGGTGAATTCTTTTTCTTTTCCTTTCCCCTGCCTTTCTCGTAATGAAACACCTCCCAAGGAAGAATGTCGGGTTCCGCATCTTGGAGAAAGAATTCGGATGAACGATGTTTCTAACCATCAGCGTGAGGATCGCGGAGGGTGAATTTCGGGTAACACGATCGTTTAATAATAAAATTTTCTTTCCGTTCGTTACGTTCCTTTACAATCTTGTTGTCAACCAAGTAGCTCAGCTTTTTTTCAGGAAACACGAGACGAGTTTCAACATTGCCGGGGATTCGATCGATGGATCTCCGCAAGCACGGCCTTCGTTCTAAAATTTTCCGCCCAAAGTGTTACGGGGCGTAAAAGTGAGGGATCGAGCGATCGCGACTGGATCGAGTTTCCGATATCGACGTTTCCTCGAATCGCGGCCGAGCGTGCGCCGTTCGAGACGGGCGAGGCGTGTTTTCTCGGCGGAATTGGTGGTGGCAGAAACGGGAACGGCGCTCGTTAAATAATTATTTTTAGAGGAACGATAAGCGCGGCGACTGGCTGGCGTGCACCGCGCGTCGATGTCACATCTATCAAGCGAATCAATTACAACGGCGTTCCTTGTTTCCTCCGCGAGGAACGAGAGCGTGGCCTTTGCTTTCGTTTAACGGACACCCACGCGTACACCTCTCCTCCTTTCAATTATATCCCCCAGTCTTTCATTATTATTTACCAGCTTTTCTCGAAAACTTATCGGCCCCGAACGAAAGGAAAATTATCTTATTATTAACCGATTATTTCCGTAGTAGGTGAAGTATTTTTGCTTTACCCCATATCCAACGATTAATTGAGAATCTCGAATCGAGGGAGGAAATGGAAAGATGAAAGGATATCTAAGAGAGAGAGAGAGAGAGATGTCATAGCGTCGAAAGGTATTGAGATTTTTGTGAAGAGTTTCGACAGATGGTGCAATTTTAAGCTTGGTCTTCTTGGAATCTTGGAACGTACGAGATTTTTGCAAAGATTAAAAACTCGTATTCAAATGTGCGTATATAAATTTTAACAACGACACGAAAATTTCGTTGTGAAATGAAGAGGATCGAACGAGAGGAATAATTAGATTAATAAAAAAAAAAAAAAAAAAAAGGAAAAATCTCCGACATTTCGTGAAATAACTCCCTCTCTTGTCCGCTGAAGCTGGCAAAGTGCTAATGAGCGAACCGACGTGAATGTACCACGTGAAATTTGCAATCCAGAGATATCTCTTCTTTTCCCACGAATGAATAGCGAGACGGATTTTTGCCCGAACCGGATGTAACGGGACACGTGTCGCGCTATTGACGTTTCCCTCCTCATCTATTTCTAAAAACCGCACACCTCCTTTCGATCCACTTTCCCTTTATCGAGCACGCTTCGTCCGAAATTCCACGGGAAAAAATCGCGCCTTTGGACTCTTCGTCCAAAAAGAAAAAGAAAAGGTAACAATTCTCCCCTTTCCAGCGAATTTTCTTCTTTTCTTTTCTTTTTTTTTTTCCTTTTTTTTTCTCGGTCCGAGAGAGTTCCTGAATCGCAAGTTGAGCGGTCGCTCGAAAAGGAGTGTTTTAATTGGCGGCATAGAAGGTAGAGAAGGGAACTGGTCCGCTCGTTCGTGCGGCAAATTTGCATTCGGCGAAAAGTGGCGGGCAAAGGGTGGAGGGAAAGATAGAGGGTAGCGTGGCGAGGGGTCCACGTTCCCTTTTTAAGGCAATGCTCGGTGAATCGAGGAGATTTAAGAGAGAGAGAGAGAGAGACCATGCTCGATTTATACATATAAGGGAGACTTATTAGCGTAATTAATCGAGTCACCAGATGAGTAGGCAGCACTCGGATAGGTGACGCTCATTGATGACATTCGAGAAACGATGGAAGCTCGAATGGACCAAAAATGGATTAAATTATTGGACGCGCGGGCGTAAAAATTAATATCGATCCCTTCCATCCAACGAATATAATAAACGTACGCGCTTTTATTCTCCCTCCTCTTCCATCGAATCGTCCGGTTTAATTAATTTCTCGATCGATCGCAAAATTGCTCGTCAAACTTGATTAATGTCCCGCTTCCTGTGGCAATAAACGGTTCGATCAAATCGCGGGACGCAAGCAGTTCAGAAACAAGATCCAGAAACAGTGTTCGCCTGTTCCATCGATCATAAACGCGCCGATTTAGCCGGATCATCGAGCAACGACACTTGCAAGATAAATCTTCGATATCACCTTCCACGCGAAAACGAGTTTGCGCGCTGAGTGCCGCTCTCTTCAATTAACATCCCATTCGTACGGCACAATTTAATTTTTAACAAAAAGAAAATCATCTTCTTCCCTAACTTTCGTTCGTCGAATCCACCCGATTGGAATCTAGCAGCTACTAGGAATCTAGCGAAAAGAAAAGAAAAAAAAGAAAAAAATAGGGCGAAAAAAAAGCATGCAATAACGCGTTCGATTTCGCTTACGTTCTCGGATGACGGCGGGACCGCGATCACGTACGGCGCGCAGCAGCACGTCAAAGTCGCTTATAAATATTCTCGCGTTGCTTTTTCCACGACCAATCGAACATTACATCATTGCTCGAACGTTACGCTTGCAACGTTAAATACGCATCGTTCTCTTCCCTTGCACACCCGAGCATGATCGTGTTGACACGCTTGTCGATCCCGGTAATCGGCCGATTTAATAAGATGGAAAATGGCGGAGGCGAACGGTAGCTTCAACAAAATTCCAACATCGGCGACGTAAATTGGTTCGTTCGAGGCGAGATAGCTACGTTTAATTTTAACGCTCTCATTAGAGACAGCCTTTCGTGCGCTCTTTCCTGATAATATCCTCCTTTTCTGTGAATTTTCTCCCGAACGAAAATTTCGAACGTACATTCGTTGGAACGAAAGTTGGCCATTCAGAAGGGAAGAGCTAGGCTGTCGTTGATTAAAATGATAACGATCAGGAGCAATTTACTTTTTTACAAGTTTCGACATTCAGCGCCTTTGTTGGATCTTAAAGTGGTCTTTTTTCATTTATCATATTTATTTCGTAATTATTATAAGATTCAAGGATGTACTTGTGAATGCAAAGTGAAAACAGATGTAGATATACAACGCATATAGTAAGTGATAACAGTGATAAGGAAACACTCGACACTCGGGATAGGAGCGTTCTGTGTCTGCTCGCAGAAATCGTTACCATATATATATATATATATATATATGCGTAACGTCCGATCTGTTGGTTCGAGACGGCTGGAAATGTGCCCGACAGTTCAAAACGACAGTTAGTTATCTTATTTGCAAACGTTTTCCGATATCTATTTTTTTAAAATTATCTTTCGGATCCAATCTCGTTGTAGAAATATAGAATTCTCCAATTAATAATAATCGAAGAGGGAAACAACCGATACTACACGTAAATACACGTATACAGATCGATTCTGTTCTTGTATCCTCGATACACATCCAGCGTGGGAGACGATCGTGCGCCTCAAGTAATTGGAGAACCATCGATGTACTGTAACCTCAAAACACTAGGACAGTCGCCACCAATAACGGTGAGTGCTCTCGAGCCCAAATTGAAACGCTGACACGTGACCCAAGCTGGCTAATTTCCTTGCGGAATCTATTTCCGTTATAGATATCGGCGTGACATTGGGAAAAATCGTGCGAAGATAATTTTGTTTAAACGCGAAATACAGATATTTCAACGAGCGAAGGAAGATAAGCTGTGCTTGCTTTGGCCTAAATGTTCGTCTATCGGCCGAAGATATTAACATAGTTTTGTACAATCAAAATGATCGATAACGCGCGTTTACGTTTCACGTGTAAAACCTACCGATAAGAAAACGGTTGCTTCGGATCGTGTTTCGTACAGCATGGACGGATATCCAATCTTGGCTCGCAAGCCAAGGAGGAAACAATTATTTTTATTTGCAAATTACTCGATATAGAAAATTTTACAACGAAGAGAGAATAATTGCAAATTATTTATTCTTAAAAAAAAAAAAAAAAGGTTGAGAAACACTGCTACAAAGATTCTTTCAAATTTCTCTTCGAATAATATTATCTGCTATTACCGTTATTGTCGAAGATTCCGAACTAATTTATTACGCGTGTTACTCGTATAATACAAATCTACTCCAGATTACATCGAACAGGAAATATATTACCGTTATTATTATAGGATCATAAAATACTTGGAAAACATATACGAACGTGTATTGTATAGTATCAGATCCGCGAGGAAAATCGTGAAACAGCGTGACGTACCACGACAGAGTCGAAGTGGAAATATTCATGCGGTCGGTTCTTTTGGTCGGTTTGAATACGAAAGAAGGTAAAAGAGCGGGTTAAATCTGTCGAGCGGAGGACATAAGCTGGTATTTTAAGTAACGAGAAAACTACTTCAACCTTGACTAAACCGTTCTACGTGCGATTCACTTAGTGGACGCGTCGCGAAACCACAACTATCCGTCTGGAATTCAAACTACCTTGATTTCTGCTAGATACATACTATAACATCGACTCAACGATCTTGTAATTTTACCAAATTAGCGAAAGTAACTCCCGAAACGTATTCGAAAGAAACTTTGAGAAAATGCTTTTTAAAGTAAATTTATCGTAACATAACAGTTTTTCAAATATTTTCGAAATTTTAACGCTTCGTTACTTTCTACTTCGAGAAACTTTAGACAAATTTCACGTCAAGTTGATCGATAGTACGGTTGATTTATATTTTTCTTTTTTATCTTCGAGAATATCACGTGAATTAAAGTTTAAAGTAGCTGTCATAGTACAGCTACACATTACGAGACACAATCGAACGCCTCCGCTAGATCGATAAAAAGCACGAAAGAAGAAGTTAACCTCAAAATGAACCGGCACGATGGCCAATATGTATTAGCACGATCATCTTGCGGGACGAGAAATATCTATAGTGTCGCACGTCGGATTTCTTGTCGTCGGTTGACCCGTTCTCTCCGATTCTCTGTTGCTCTCTTTTTCACGGATCCATTCGTCACACTCGCTCCTGTTATCCTATCCTACGCCTCCTTCATAGGCTTTACGCCATGGGAACCGGTATGACCGGAACGAACAGGCGGAATTCTTTCTATGACTGTCAAAACAAGTCTGTCGAGCGTTCCGCTAATTTAACGAACTCGTATCGTTCGGCCTAATCGATCATGCAGGATTTATTTGCATTTCGTTCAAACGAAGTGACAAAGTCCGAGCGAAGGTTTATCGACACTATACACAGGAACAAAATCGATAATATTGAGAATTTTTCTATATTTCATTCTCATTCGTACTTCGTATCTCGTCTTCTTCTTTAAATATTTCTTTAAAATATTTCGTTCGTAAAAATGACTGTACTTACGTCTCTCGATAATACGCCAACGTTTCACGCGTTTGATTTACATATACACGCGTGATTATTTCAAAGTATCAACGGTTGCAAGATTATAGAACGCAAACAGTGGAAGAATATAAACATATTATAATTATAATTAGAGAAAATTATCGCGTATCAATGATATATTAAACATGTTATTGCGTCAAATTGCGTCTTAAGAATAATAAAACAATCGTATATAATATTCAAACGGCGTGAAACACGTGTCGAAACGACGGTCGCCATTTTTTATCCTTTTTTGCGTTCTAAATTCCCGCGTATTTCCACCATAACCGTGACAAGATCACATCGCGCAAATAACCTCTTTTCGATCGAGTAATAAACATCGACTTACCGAGCGCGTTCTCGGGACGACCGCGTGACAGCAAAAAAATAAACACGACGCGAGGAAGATTCACCGCAAGTTTGTAGAGTTTCCCGCGTGCTGCGAATGAACGGAGAGATTGCGTAACGCAGCAACTTGTTCGCACAATGAGTTCGATCCACGACGAAGGACACACTTGATTTATCGGGTAGACACGCGAGACAACACTGATACGTTCGCACAACGTGTCACGTGGAGGCAACGACAATCCATTTGTTTTGGTATGAAATATGAAACGAAGAGAGTCCGCACGAAAGTTTAAGAGAGGAGAGGCGCGACGAACACCTTCCACCGCGACGGCTGGAGCGCGACTGACTGGCTGTGCTCGCTGGCTTACCGCTACGCATACGACCTCGAGTTTCGAATTACGCGCGGCTTAACGACTCTACATTCTGTATCTGTCAGTCTTACAGCTCGGAGATGAATACGAGGATATTACGTGGTCATTTTCGAGCTGCCGTATTCACGCACGTAGACGTACGTAGACGTGAAAAGTCGATTGTCCGTTCGTTCGTTCTTTCGTTCGTTCGTTCGAACAAAAAAATCACTAGATATCTTTTTTCTCGACAAAATTATCGGGTTAAGCTAGGGATTATATTTGTATATTTGGTAAAATTACTGCTGGTCTATTCGCTAGTTTATCATACGGTTTTATCCATGACTAATAATACCTTTTGGCAAGCATAACGAATAACGAAAATAACGATGATTCTGTTTACTCGGTTATATCAAACATTTCAATTGCTGGAATATTGTTAAATTACGATACGCTTAACCGTAGTAATTTACCGCGATAGTCGGGAAATCGATTGCGTTGACAACAGGGGGATAGTAAACAGGGGAAGGCCGATTCACAATAAGACTAACCCACGTAAATTCTATTATGTAGGAACCGTCTATTGTTCCGCGTTACTTGTATACTCGTCGAGAAACAAAGCAACAAAGGGATTAGCAAAACACATGACAGTGAGCAACATATAAACAAATGATCGTTATCAACCGAGTGGTATATACGATAATAAAGCAGCTAGCATTTCCAAATAAAGGCTCGGAGCGAGAAAATCAAAGCCTCGAGCCTCCGGGTATATTAATTAAGGGAACGATGGCCGGAAATAACGTTGAAAATAATAGAAAGTAAAATTAATGAAGGAACGGAAGGAGTAAATATCGAATAATGAGAATCGGTGATCGCAGAAAAAAAGATTTTTTTATTACGAAATCCAATCAATTCGTGTGTCGAGAAGGAAGTGTCGATAAAACATTTGCATTATAATCTTCGATAAAACGCGTCGTATTATTATATTATTATTTACATAAAAATATTGCGTAATATAATTGCATATATTTATCTCGTTGTTAGCTCTCGTTCGATTTCAATCGATAGAAAATTCATGTCAGGAACATCAGCCTGACTAACTGGCTTATGACCATTTCCACCCCTCAGAACAACACGGTTCTATTTATTTTCCTCCTATAATTAGGTGAAACAAGCGGAAAATTTTCCCCCGCGATGATTCTCTCGATTAACTTTGTAGAAGAAAGATAAAAAAAAAAAAAAAAAAAAAAAAAAAGAACACGTCAATGACAAACATCCCTTCTTCTTTCCTCTCTTTCCCCCCACCCCCACCCTCCCTCGGTACACACAACATTGTTATCTTTCTCGCTCTGTTTAACTTTCATTCTTCGAGATACCGCGCATGACCGACGAATACCGCCGACGTGACGTTGAAAATGACGCGTATACGGGGCGAAAATAATGGTCACGACGATGATGACGATGATGATGATGACGATGACGGTGATGACGACGATGACAGGGCAACGCATGAACCATCATATGCGTCGAGTGTGATACGGCTCGACGCATATCTGTTTGTAATAATCCGTACTCTAGCTTATCCGTGTACGTTTCATGCAAATTCGGACGATGCAACGAATGGTAATCGTGTAGCGAGGTGACCATTCGTCCGTTTCAACTTTGACGAAGTTACGATGCCGGTGCTGAAAAGAAAAGAAAATAGGAATTATTGTTATTTCTTATTAGAGAGAGAGAGAGAGAGAGAGAGAGAGAGGAAG